AAATTGCCTTCTCTTCGAGACAATGAACAAATCAATGAGAATGTCATAACTAGGGCTCAGTGACGGTCTTCAAAATAGGCCAGAGCAGGAGAAGCCAGTCCGGGAGACAAGAAATCATGGCATCATGGAGACCAGCTTGCTTGGAGATCAGACAGATGTGATTATAAACCCTCTCTCATCTGTGTATGACCTGCTAATTTGTCAGCTATGAATGTGTCTGGGTCTCAGAGCCCTCAGTTGTGAAAGAATGTCGGTAGACTTGCTAGTGATAATTGTCTGGAGCCTGTGCCGTCATGCACAGCAGGGGGTCAGTTCTCTGTATATTCATTTATTTATTTAGGGCCAGGCATGCCATTCAACCCTGGCATAAGAGAGTGGAAAACACCACCACCAACAAAACCCTGCTACGCCTGCCTCTAAGGTCTGAAAGGCTAAGTCTGTGTCCGTAGAGGAGGATTAAGCCCCTGGGGGTAAAAGTGGCTGCCAATTATAATCACAGTGGTAACTGTAATGACAGTGGTCCTAGACACACTCCTCCGAAAGGTCTCTCCAAAGTCAAGGGAGGAGGTGGAGACCAGAAGCTCAGCCTCAGAGACGTGACTTCCAGCAGTGGGTGGAGGGCAGGTAGACAGGGAGTCCACTTAGGGGTGCTAGCAACGTTGAGGGGTGTAGTGGACAACCCTGTGCAAGGACAGGGGTTGGGGGCTGGAGTTGATCTTTTGTAGGACCAGGGAGAGCAAAGTGGGGAGCTGGGAGAACCAAAGAGTGTCAGGGTTAGGATGAGGCTATAAATGCATAACTTTTGGGGAACAGATGGCACTGAGAGAGGAACACGTGATTGCCAGAGCAAGGGCTGGCTCAGAGCTCCGCCTATGAGCGCTGTGAGTTGTGCCCTGTGTCTCATTAACTTCTCACTTGAGGAAACTTCACCTGAGGCTAAAGACTATCAGGTGTGCCCTGATGAAAAGACACAATGTGAAAATTATAGTGTTACCATGGTTTCACAGTTTAATGTGGGATCTTAATTCACTGGAAAATAACATTAAAGCCACATCTCAGTGATGGAGCTTTTAAAGGAGGCAGTCACCATTTAACTTAAACAAACAAATAAAATGTGTATTTTATTTTTCAAAGATTCTTGGTCCTACTAAAACTCGAAGTGAACTATTTTTTTTATTATCGCCATATAAGCTCTGTGATTTATAAGATCTACTGTAAGGTGAAAATGTTTTATTTATTCACAGTACGACACAGCACATTTATTTATTGATTTGTTATTGATGAAAATTCTAATGACCAGATTTTATTTTACATATACTACCTGTGTGCTTTTGTGACAGAGAAATAAGTGACCAAACTGATAAAATGATTTCTTTTTTTTAACAAGCAAATGCTGTGTGACAGGGGTCAGTGTATTCTTCTAAAGCACTGTGTGACTGATGGATGCTAAAGTAACTAATGAATCAAAAAAAAAAAAGCATAATGAAACTAGCCTGCTTGTAGTTTCAATGTCATGGGTACTTGATTAGGTTCTAATCCCCCCAAAATTGATCATCTATCTTCAATTAAGGAAAAGAATTCATACAAAGTTCCTAGCAGAGTGGATGATATATAATAGGATTT